TAATTCTCTAGGAGGTTGGTCAATTTGACTGACCTCATAACCACCAAAAAAATCAAAATAAATCTAAATTTCTCTGTTTTTCTTTCCAGAATGACTTCAAATGTAACATGAAACTACATTTGTTCATCCGAAGTATCTTTAAACTCGTAACAGTATATATCTATTTATACTTTTATTGTTTTATTGCCATTTTGATTGCCCTTTGAACCATGTCTAACTACTACTCATGCCGTTATAAATTGTAAATCACTTGAGGAATGTGCATCTCACATTACTCTATTAAAATACCTTATCTACAAGCTACTCCAAGTAGCTTGCCTCATTAAATATTTTTACTATTATTTATTTTACCTGATCTAACCTTAACTAACCTAAAGAGGTCCTTATTTTTACATTTTAGTTACTTTTATAATAATAAATAAAGAATAAACATGAAAAACAAGAAATAAAGTACATACCCTAGTAGTATTTTTTTTTGTTTTTGATTATCGATGCCACTTAACCCTACTTTTTTTTCACAGTAATGGTAGTAATGCATTAAATAATTTTTATTTAATTAAATAATGCACCAAAGAACATAGAATAATAACTTGCAAAAAGCAGAAAATTTCCTCTAACAATCACAATTTTTCTGGCCTTCTAACTATGAGACAAGAGCTGTTACAAATTCATCCAAGCTAGTCAGGGAACGGAAGCTTGTACTACAAGTGAAATAGATGATTATCTGTTCAAAAGACCCTTAATAGAATAAGTCATTTGATACTTGAAAACCTTGGCTTTCCATTAGTTATGGGTAATGTATATTTAAATGTATGAGAGAACTATTAACAAATCCTGAAAGAGAGGATGTGACAGGTGGGTGTGGCAAGATGGATCTGATTTTCTATTTGAGAGCTCTGTAATCAAACAAAATTAAAGGCTATAAAAATTATGGTTTGTCTGAGCAATGAAGATTTTATTGTGAGTAATTTACATTGAATTTTGTACTTTTTGGATGGGTGATGGATAAAATAGAGAAGAGGAGACACCTGGAGAAGATGTGTCGCGTATCACACTAGGGAAAATTCAGGATTTTTTTTTAAATATTGCCTTATAGAATTAAGAACTTAAAACTTGTATACTATTAAAGTATGGATTATAAGCTAAGTTTTTATGTTATACTAATTAGTATGACATGATGCAATATATACACTGACAAATGAACGTGAACTGCTACCAAGTCCATTGTTGAAGATCAGTGTGCCTAGCACGTAGCTATTTTTTGTTGCCTTTAACATATTGGTTTGATAGACAGTTAAATTGCATTTAGGTTTTAATTTTAAATTTTACTTAATTGTGTATTATTAGTGTTTTAAAATTCATACTTGAAAGATTTATTGATCTTAAAAATATTTCTAATCTTTGCCTTGCTTCTCAAGGGTTAGAAAAATAAGCGAGTGCAAAAAGTTTTGTTGGAGACTAAAGCATCTCTGCCAATCGTATATTGCAAGTAGGCACCCATTGACATGTTCCGACTTACATAATCAAAGATAAAGAATAACAGAGGAAAATAAAACACTAAAATAATAAACCACAAGTCAAAAGGTAAAGTGAAATTACTCATATGATACAAAGAAGATATTTTAAGATTATTCAACATTAAGAAGAAGCTACATGAATATTTTTGGGATCAGGGTTAGGAGAAGAAAGATTGGGCATGAGAAAATAGATTTCTTTATGTCGATTGAGGGAGGATGTTACAAAAATATGGGACAGCCTAGATGGGCCAACTGGCTCCTCATTATCCCTTAAATATGAAAAGTAGTTTGGAGTACAGCATCAATAAAAACTTAATTCTATATAGGATAAATGGACTTTTGTTGCTGATTAGAAACAAAGTAAAGGTTAACCTTTACTGACTGTACAGTCTTCTCTCACTATGCCTTTTCTTACGATCCTTATATTCTTTAGTACTTTGCTCTTTAGTACGGTTACCGATTATTCTGTAGTGTAGCTAATACAAAAATTCACTACAGACTAAGTTTGGTTTTACTCCACTACTCATTTTATTTGGTGATATTTTATAAAAAGTTGAAGATTGAACACTTTAGTCTTTTTTGATTATGTGGCTACTGTACCTTTCAGCTGCAGCTGCAAGTGTTTGAATCCTACCCTGTAACATTTGTAAAGCATCTTCTAACATATCTATTTCTGTAGCCTTGGAGAGCAGATCTTCATAATGGTTGGAGACCTGAAACAACAACAACAACAAAAAAAAGTACATTCAAATTAAGATACATATATGCATTTACATCATTACCTATTTTCAATTTACTTAGAATTTTATTTCATATATTTTAGAAAAATATTAGGAATTTATAAGGACTATAAAGGTTAAAATTCCATGAAAACACATGAAAACCCTCTTAATTAGAGATGGGTGATTATCGGTACCTACTAACTGATTAATTGATTGGTATTAATTAATTAGAACACACCCCTACACACGCACACCCCATGTACAGGCAAAAAGCATGTCCTAGCTTCATAACTTTGTAAACTACTGTATTATTCTCACATGGTATTAACATTGTTTTGTTCCTTCTTAATGCAAATATTTTACATTTATGTAATAATGTGATTAATGCTCACTGTCTAATTAAAACAGGACTGTTTTTATATATTTGTGTAATTTATAAATACATAAAAGATATTTGTACAAGAAAGTAAAAGTACTTTCTCAATGATTTTTTTGTCTTTTAAAAATTGACATTTAAACATTGAAAAATGTTTTAATACATTAAATGAAATTTAACACCCTTAGTTTACAACACAGTTGATACCTTAAGTATTGTACCTATAACTACACTGATACTCAAATGCTTTGTAGCCAATCAAAAGGAATGAAAAATCATAACTTGTTTTACTTATTACACAAATGAGTAGTTAACCGGTAAAAACCTAGTAATTATATCTATTCTTCAAGTAGCCTAACCCTTTGACTATGACCTATTTACATTGTAAGTAGGTATGTAACTCTCGTGAAAATTCTTTACAAAAATGAAACTAGTGGATGAAATTCTTTTAAATTTGAGATGAAAGGTCCGATAAATATGTAGTTTTTGAAAAATAAGACATTTAATATTAATTTTTTCTAAACCAATGTTTAACTCAAGCCTTTTTTTCTTCTTCTTTTGGCACGTTATCTATCCAACATGCAAAGTAATTTCCATTTTAAGATCAAAAATATTTTTATGGATCAGAAAATTTTAAAATTCACACATGAAATCTTTATTATGTCCATATAGTTATCAAATGTTTCTTAAGAAAAAAAAACTTTATATTTTATCTGTTATTTTCACTAAAGAATATACAGGTGCTGTCGATTTCACTGATCTTGGAACCATCAGGAAAAATTAAGAAATAAATATAAGTTATGCTTTTTTCATTCTAGGACGACTACAAATTATAACACGAAAAAATAAATGTTTAAAATAAGTAGCTTAAATCTCGTATATATCTTTAACCTTCCAGCCATTCCTGGCTTACATACAGAAGTTACGATGACGCTGTGCACATGCACTCATGTTACAGTAACCAATAATATAAAACTGACCTTAGTCTTTACAAAGTGACCTGCCTTGGTTGTGTTTTAATGGACAAGTATTTTGTAAAATACTGTCATATTTCAATTATTATACATTATATATATACATTATTACTATTTACAAAAAAAAATTCTTAAACATAGAACAGTAAATAAAGAAGTGAACCAAACAATCATCTCTTCTAGCTCTGACCTTTGTACTCAGTTGTTGCTTCTAGTAGCTTGCTAAGTCTTAAGAAATTTTGCAAGTGGAGGATGAGAAGAAGAAAAAAGAAAGAAAGAAAGAAAAGATATTTTGAGCAGACTAAAGACTCGACTTACCTTTATGCCATCTTGTATCGAAAGAAAATGTTTTTTAAGTTGTTACTTATACAGTTATTCCACTTGCATTTTCACTTATTCTGCACATCAACATTATGTAAAATATATTTCTCGTGAGAACCTAAATTTCTAATAAATGTAAAAAATTATTCTGTACCAAGATTATGTTAGAAGAGATGCAGGGGTCTTAAAAAATATTAACTTTGTGGTAAAAAAATCTTCAGGTTTAGACACATTGTTAGAGTATCTAGAAAAAAAGCAAAACATGAAAATTTATCATGGCAACATTTAACTGACATTCATATTGTTGTATTAGCTTAGAAATAATCAATTACTGGCTGATGCCTTAACTTTGCCGATTTCAGAAAACCTCAAAAAGAATTTACAATTAATAGCCCAATCAAATAAAAACACTGACCTTTAATGTTTCTGATACTTAGTGTAAACTGATTGTTTTTAGTAATTTATGAATAGATTTGTGCTTACTTATACAACATTAAATAATAGCCATTAATTCCTCAAAAAATGGGTGGAATTTGACTCCCTTAGACCCATCTAAATACATACTTGCTTATATTACATAAAAGAAGAAATTAATTCCAGAAAAATATAGAGGGTACAAACTCCATAGATCCCCCTTAAACTCATGCTTACTTATATGGTCATTAATTCCTGGAAAAATGTGTTGGTTTCAATCCCTATGAACCCATCTCCTAGATCCATGCCTGCTTGTACTTTATTATGAAAATATGAGATGTACATACCCCCTAGATCCTCTCCCCTTGATCTGAGTCTGCTTATACAACAATACAGAGTACAGTTAGGCAATTATAAGTTAGAAACATAACACAATGTAAAAAACAGTAAATTTACACTTTACTTAACAATAAAGTAGCCAAAGAGTTGGTGGTTGGACCTATCTATCTAGTCAATAATTTAAAATTAGTGATGGTGGCATATAGCCTTAGTAGCTTTATGACAACAAAAACAGGGTAAGCAGATTTTGTGGCAAAGAGAATTGAACCCAAAACCTTCCAATCGCAAGGCATCCCCATCATGTAGCTTTGTGCTTAACAAACACACAATGGCAACATTTTGATTAATTATTTCTGTGATAATCGATTTAATCATAATTGCAATTAATTGATTGTTGAAATAATTGAAAGTTAACATTTTCTTAAATCAAAAATGTATTTCCAATAATACTTACTTCCTCTCAAACTACAGCTATTACTCAACTGTTAAGGTTTCTTTTCCTTTGTCCATCTAAGTATTGGTCCAATTTTTTTTTCACTTGCTCCAGTTTTTTTATTCCCCACGTAATTGCCCTTGGCAATATCTGTCTCGTGACACACTTCACCTACATCAGTGCACCTTCTATCCTGGTACTGTATGTAAGAACCTCCTTCAGATAATATTGACACTTCTTCGAGACTGACCTCATTTGCAGTCTCTAACATAGGCTCTTAATACGGAGGAAGGGTGTGAGAGGAAGGTTACTATTATTGGAAATACATTTTCGATTTAAGAAAATGTTAACTTCCAAAACAAACTTACCTCCATTCACACTACAGCTAGAATCCTACACTGATAATGTGGAGGGGCCAGTGAGGGCATTATCCACATAGAATGAGTCTGCACATATCAGGGGCATGTCAAAAGAAATGAAATAGAAGATTAGCATCCTAGTGGGGGGAGGGGGGACTGCACTACATCCAGAATAGGTATGGAATGTAAATCTTCACCTGGAATGTAAATCCTGCACTGCAGGTGGATTTTGACATGATCCATTATCACCACCATCAACCAGGACAAAACCAGGTAGCCAAGATCCCACTGCATGGGGTTGGAATTATATCTTGAGCTTTGAGATGGATGGGTGTAAAAAATATTTGTGAGTGGATCCCAAATGATCAGTATCTGATCAGTCATAGGGATGAGAAATAGCTTTCAGATGAATTGGAGAAAAGGATTTATCCCCTTCCCTGGCTGCCAGTGTCTCAGGTAAAAAGAAGCCTGTCTGGGTATAGAAGGATGTAGGTAGAATGATAAAGCATCCTGTTCACATGCAACACAAACAACTCTGACCAGGCCAACAGAAATAAAAAGAAGGAAAGGTAATACATGGAACATGAAACTGAAATGTCTTGATGAAACTGTAGAGCACTGGGAAATCAAAGAATTTCTATCTTTTCGAGTATCTAAAGATAGCCAATAAGGCCCCTATATAGGGCAGTTGTGGAAGATGTGAAACCCTTGTCAAAGAGGCAAGTCAAAAACTGAGCTACGGTTGGCACATCTGGATGAAATGGGTTCAACCACTGTCAATATGAGTTACATTTCCAGGATGGATGGGTGCAAGATGTCAGTTCATAGTTGCCTCAACAGAGATGGCCAAAAAGGAAGTGGAAGAGGTGGGCACTCCTAAGGGCACCGCAAAAGCAGAAACCATGATTGAGCCAGCCAGTGTTACCAACAGAACATGACGAGGCGTTGAACAAATCATTGCTAGGTCTCTGGGTAACAGACAAATTGATGAGTTGGCATATAGGTGCAATCCAGTCCAGTCCTGACTGAATGCAGCTATTGCCAATGTCTGAGAGTGCTAGCAGTTGAGTGTTCCAATGATTGGTCATTGGTGTCCCAAACCATGAACAAATCCAATGGAAAACCCCTCGATGAAGCATCCATTCTGTCAGGAGAATCTGGTTAGGTTTTAGGTCGGGACAATTGATCTGTCACCAAATTCATCACCCCCCGGAACATGGCAAGCTAGTAGGATGATATGATGGGAATGAGCCCAATATAGAAGATCCAAGTTTCGAAAACAAAGAGAATTGGACAGAGTGCCCCCTTGACAGGAAATGTAAGACACCACCGTGGAATTGTTAGAGTGAAGCATGATGATTTCGCCCCACAATAATTCTAGACCTAGAGACATCACTCTTTGAAGACAAGAGATTCTAAAACACCAATGTGAAGGGAAGCCTCATCATCCGTCAACAGACTCCTGGAATTATTGATCGTTGAGATATGCACCCTATCCCTGAAGCGAGGCATCCATGAAAAGGTGGATCTCTGGACAAGGTGGCAGCAGATGAACACCTATCGTAGTATTGTTCTAATCTAACCACCACTCGAGATCAAAGATGTTGATCCCAAATGAGGAGACTGGAGAATCCAGTGGATTCCTGTTCATGACCATTGAAGGGATCTCATCCCAAAAGAATGAGGAATTCGAGTGATGGCCATATCCCCAAAAGAGAAAGAACGATCTGTGCAGTGGGAGAAGGAGATGCAAATAAGAGTCAGACTGCCTGATC